TTCCATATGGTCGGCATGAACGGCAAATTAAATGCTTCTTTAATTACCGGCACTAACATTGAAAACCCTGGGGCAGAACCAGGGGAAGTCTTAAAAGCCATTAGCCGAAGAGAAGACCGAGCTTGTGTGATTTGTTTTGACGAGATTGAAAAGGCAGCCAGGGAGTGTAAAGAGGCTGCTGGGATACCAACTGATATAACTGGCAATAAGAATTTCACCGATACTTTTTTAGACTTCCCAACCCCGACCAATGAATGTATCTTTATTGCTACCGTGAACCGTCCGGAAGATGTACCCAACTTTGTGGCCGATAGATTTGCCATCAAAGTAGAAGTCTTGCCTTTGCCTTATGGGGAAAGGTTAGAAGTAGTAAAGGTAGTTTTAGCTGGGGAGTTAAAGAAGCTCAATAATGCTTTCCAAAGAATTTACCACCAAGACTGGCAAGCTGTGTTTAACCAGTTTGACCAAGAAGAACTTTTAAAGAGAACCTTAACTTGAACTTTCTCTATCCGGGGAGCGAAGAATAATATCCTGTTAAAGCTAATCCCCACTTTAATTAGTGATTTTTTAGAGCCTGAATTGGCTTTGCCGGGTGATTTAGTGGGTTATAATTGGGACTTTTTACAAAGAGAAGGCAAAGACGAAAGTTGCCCGTATGGCAAAGATATAAGGAATAATCACAAAGTTAATTGTAAGTGTTTCACTCAGAACTTAGACTGGGTGCCTGGTTGAGTGGAGCAGATGGGAGGAGAGTATCATGGTTAATTTAGAGCAAAGTAATCTGATTACTGAAACGGATATTAATACCCGAAAGGAATTATGGGATAGTTTGTTTTTGTTTGTGGATTTTTCCCGAATGAAAGAAGAGTATCCGAATATGTGGAGTAAGGATTATCGACTTTTACCTTTACCCAAGCCTTACCAAGAAACCAAGCAAAAATTCACTAATTATTGCCAAGGGTTAAATGACAAAGTAGAGAACTTAATTAATTCTTATGCTGGTTATTTTCAGCAAAACATTTATCCAGTCCTAGAAAGCCCCGAGGGAGACAAGACTTTGCTGTTTCGAGCCAAAAGACTACTCAATAATAAAGTGATTGGGGAGAGTTCCAGTTTATTCACTGACTTGCTTATTTGGGAAGTAGAATGAAGGCAACAGCAAAGATTTAAGGAGTTATTAAGGCAACTGCAAATAGAGCCTTGTTTTTTAGAGGACAGAGAAGATGAACTAATGGCTAATGACCTAGAAAAGCTGATTGACGGCCGAGTTAATTATAATGTAGCTTGCCGATGATACTTTAAATGGGCTAATTTAATGGCTCAAAAAGGCTTACAGCCAGAACTATGAGAAAAGATTGGAGATTATTTAAAACTATGACAAAAAGGCCAAGGTGCCAAGAGCGAATGGCAAGAGAGCTTAAAAAGAATGGGAGAGGTCAGGGATAGAGTATTTGAGTTGGGCAGTGAGAGTATCAGTGATGGGTTGCCTTTCTTTCAATTGGGTTATATTAAGGGAGATACTCACGAAGGATTAAGGATTGTTTGCCAGAATAGGAAAGGTTTTAACCTTAATAATCCTTATTTGCGAGTGGTGAACTTTCACCAGAAAGTTTTTCGAGTATATACGGTAAAAGGATATGTGATGAATGACCCCCGGAGATTGTATGTTAGTTTGAGTTTGGAGGAGGATTGAGTTTGACGAGATTTGCCGTGGATTGTTAATTCAATGGGGAGTTTGGTGAGTGGTAATCATCCTGTTTACCATCCACGAAATTTGCCGAGTGATGATAAAACAAAACTGCATTATTCTTTTTGTGATGATTTAAAAAACAATGTTTCTTTAATGTGTCCAGTAATAGATCCGATAGCTAAAAAAGCTGTTGGAATTACTCCATTTCCTAAACTATCCTTATTCAAAATAGACACTAACTTCGCTAGCAACTTTTGGAATAGTTTTTCGGGATCAAACATTAGAGAGCTAGAAGGAATTAATTTTGTCGATGATTTAGTGATTAAAAAAGTAGAAGGCACTAGTTTGAGTGATGCATTGAATGGTGCTTTTATGGCATTCATTGCTCCTCATGATTTTGCTGATGATAATGTTAAAAAAGATGGCACAAGAAACTATTATTATGACGAGATAAAAGGCACAGCAACTTTTGCTGAGAATAATGGACAAAAATGATTTTATGAACAGCTCCGTTTAGCTGACCACACTACTTTCCAATTATTTTTCCTTGACGGGATGCTAGGAGCTTATAACCTGAGCAAAATGGATTATACTATCGAACAAGGAAAAGTAATAATTAATTATGTCTTGGTCGTCAAGGCAACACCATCAGGAATTGTGTTTAAATTTCAATCAGGGGAAGTAGCTCCACCAATTAGGTGAAATTTAGCAGTAAAAGGCAGTGTTGTCACCATGAGAGTGTTCCAAGCAATCCACCAAGGAGGGAAAGGTCTTTGACAAAAGATAAAAAGTCCTTTATTCAAAATAGGAGGAGCATTAGCCGGAGGAGCAATAGGTGGTCCAGCTGGAGCAGCCGCGGGAAGTGCGGCAGGTTCAGCAATGGCAGGTAGTGGTGATGATAAAGAAAAGCCAATTAGTGTTGAACTAAATAGAGGCATTGGAGAAGCAATGGGTTTTACCAGCGTAAAAGGTGGCAAAGCTACTGAAGAACAACATACTAGCCGAATGGTAGAACAAGTTGGGAAGACATCAGAAAGCATTTCAGACCCCGCTCTTTATTATACCAATAACATAGATTACCACTTTAATTTCTTTGATTTTTGGATGAGATTGTGTGAATGAGATAGGGTGTTAAGTGCTAGGTTGGTCTTTTCTAGTGATTTGTTTAATAATTTGAAGCATAATAATAATGCTAATCCGACTACTTATCCTTTAGAAATAACCTTTGAAAAACTAGGAACTATTTTAAGATCTGGCAAATATAAAGGAGAATTAGACTTAGATTATGACCCTAATGGAAGAATGGCTGAATGCTTTGCTCGGAGTGTGACTTTTTACGAAGACAAGAAAAAGCATTTTGTTAAGCCTGATTTAGGTTTAAGCCAACAACTTAGCACTTCCGTTTATAGTTTGGGCGGAATTGGTGATACTTACATAGCTCAAGCCATCACCACCGGAGGAGAAGGCATCACAGTAGACATTCCTTACACTGCCGACCAAAGGGGTTATTCCCACACCACCTACATTAAATTAACTAATTCGAATGTCATGGATGCTTTTCGAGATGCTTTGGTTAGTGGTACACCTAACCTAACTTTTGGTCATTATAATTCAAACCAAGGTTTCTGTTGAGGTTGTTCTTATGATGACCTAAACCGAGCAGGATTTGCTAATATCAAATTTACTCCTAGTGCTGATTGTTCGGTTATTTTGAAGTTGGATGTTAACTCTCCGGGCACTAAGGATTTAGACTTAAAATCTGGCACGGAATACGAAGTAACTATCAACCAAAGCCAATTTATCTTTAAAGGCCAAGGCACTACTCGGTTGGAATGGCAAAAGCAACCAAATCATGATGACTTTAATCAGCTTGATTGAACACCTCCTGCTGGCAGTGGAGGAGAAACCGAAATCCCTCTCTCCGACCCCGAAGTAAACATCCCCGAACCCGGAGAAAACGACCCAACCCCAGATCTTAATTTGCCGGAACCTGACTTGCTTGACCCGACCGGAGGAGAACCGGAAATCCCAACAATTGAGCCAGATATTCCTCCGGACATTGACCCTAACGACCCTGGTATCCCACTCGACATTGACCCACCACCCATCGAACCCGACCCACCCGAGATTGACCCCAATGACCCTGACACCGGACGAGACCCCGAAACGGGAGGCCCTGACTTGCCACCTCCGGATTTAGGTGATGACGATGATGATGCCGACTAGGTAAAAAAAATAATCCTGATAGGTCAGGTTTAAAATTATAATTATTATGTCAGAAAATAAATTTAAGTGTGGATGTCCTAATGATTTCTATAGAAAAGAATTGACCACGTGTGAAGATTGAGAAGTAAACAAAAAAAAGAAAATAAAAGAAATACTAACCATGGATAAAGATCCAGAATGTCCAGGTCATAAAGAATTAGCTCCAGGAGAACAAAGAAGCACCTGGATTTATTCTACGGACAGTAAATGAAACAAAAATAATTGCACTTACCTTGCCTGCCCTAATGGTTGTGGACAAATGAGTAAGAAAATAAATGGGTTTATGGACGAAAAAGAATTAGAACATAAATGTAAAAGTTCTAGTTCTAATAGAGAGAGAGAGAGAGAGAGAGAGAGAGAGAGAGAGAGAGAGAGAGAGCAAATCAAAGCCTACTTTCACCAAAACAATATCCAATCCATCACCCTCCAAGATAATAACCTCATGATAACCTACAATAATAACCAAACCCAAACCACTCAACCCAACACTCCCCAATTAAAGCAAATTCAAGCTTACTTACAAAGCCAACCTCAGAAGACTATTAACCAATCAAACTTTAAAGAAAGCTATACTAAGCCAAATAAACCTAATTATCTCCCATGGATTTTAGGAGGAATAGCTGGATTAGGATTAATTGGTCTAGTGGTTTATTTCCTCACTAAAAAGAAAGGAGGGCAAGAATAATGATTGATTGAAAAGATTGCCAACAATACTGAGAAGAATATGGTTTAACTTACCAAGAAGCTCAACAATGAATTAAAGTTGGTTTATCTCTTTATGACTATGAATTTGTTTCTCAATTAAAACAAAACAAAATAAATCCTGAACAATATGCTCACTGTAAAAACCAAACCATACAAGAACAATTAGATTACTTTTATAATAAATCCCAAGTAGAAACAATTTATTTAAAATATCTAAATTCCCCTTGACCTAATAAATTAATCATTGATGCTTATCCTAATTTAAAGAAAATAGATGGATATGAAGCTTCCATCCTCACCCAATTAACCATTAATAATTGTCCTCAATTAGAGAAAATAAATATTAGAAACTCTGAAAGTCTTCAACAATTAACCTTAAATAATTTACCTAAATTAAGGGAACTTTATTGTTCTGAAAATAAACTAACCGCCTTAGAAATAAATAATTGTGCTAATTTAGAAAGAATTAATTGCTCTTATAATCAACTCACTCAAATTAAATTACCAAAAGGAGAAAAGTTAGAATTATTAAGTTTAGCAGGCAATAACCTTAATCAAGACTTATCTTTTTTAAGTGGTTTGGTTGGTTTGAAGTATTTGTGATTAAAAAATAATAAATTTTATGGCAATTTAAAGCATTTAAAGAATGTGAGCAAATTAAAAACACTTGATATTAGCAATACTGATATAGATAGGGGTTTAGAATATTTACCAGAGAGTGTTGAATATTTTGCTTGTTCAGCAAATAAAAGAAAAGATGCTAAAGTCCAAGCTATTTATAATTTATTTGCTGATGAGCAGGGAGAAGTAGAAACACGTTATAATGGAATAGAAAAATTTTCCCAAAAATTTCAAGAATATAAACAAAAACTCCAAGAAGAACAAAAACAAAAAGCTCGTCTCCTCCTAAAAGATGAATTCCAAGCCAAAGACCAACAAATCCAAGAACTATATTCACTTTTAAACTCAAAAGAACAAGAACTCACCCGAAAAAGAGCCAAAGCAGAAGCAATGGACTGAGAAACCTCAACCATCCTCCAAAGAACCGGAGAAAGACTAAAAGAAAACAAAACCAAAAGAAAAGTCCTAGAAACCCAACTCATCACTAGCCAAGAAGAAAAACAAGAGCTAATCCAGCAATGTGTTTCTTATCTCGACACTATCCAAGCTTACTGAGAAAAACAACAAGCAATCGAAGAATTAGAAAACGAGTTAGAAGGAAAAGCTTTTAATAAAAGAATAGGAGTTGAATTAAGACAGAAGCAAAAAGAGTTGGACAAAATAGAATTAAGACTAGAAAAAATCATCGAAGAAGAAAAACCTGCTTTAATGAAAAAACTAAAAATGGATAATGAAAATTGAGAAGAAGAATTAGTTTTAGGAATGAATAACCTTACCATTAATCAATTAGAAAGGCAAGTAAAGCAAACAATAATCAACATTAATAACTTAAATGTAAACAACGGGCATGCCAACATAGGAAATCAGTTTGGCGATAGTGCTAATTTTGACAACAATTATGTCGTGAAAAATGAAGAGATAGAATTGGAAGCCAAAATCCAACAACGGCATTCCTGGTTCGAGTAAAAACAATTAACTTTACCAACCTAGTTTTTCTTCACTAACTAACCCCTAATCAACTCCAAAAACCAATCCCTACTCCGATAATCCCGAAACCTCAACATGTTTTCTTTGAGCAACTTGACTCATTTCTTAATTAAGTCTTCCTTTTTTCTTAGTCGGCAATTCTTTAATTTAGACTTGGCTACTGCTTCCCAAGAAAAGCAAAAGTTAATGAGAGTGCTATCAGTTTCCTTCCTATTCTTAGTGAAATACATAAGGCAGTATTTCTTATGAGCCTTTCTTTCTCCTAGCTCACAGAAAAAGAAGTCTTGGAGGGAGTAAAGGATTTGGTATTTTTTCGGTTCGTCAATCATGAACTCATCCCAGTTGACCGTGCTGGGGTTAATCTTCTCCTCTAAACTCAAACTATGAGCATCATGTTCTCCTTCGATTAAGTTGAGATATAAGAGCCACTCCACCCCATTCTCGTCTTGGGCGATTGCTAGCACACCACTATTGTCATTCTTGGCTTTTAGTTCTTCGGCAGCTTTGCGGAGTTTATGGAGATTAGGGAAGACGTCCAAAAACCAAGCACTAAATAAATAAGGGTTAGCTAAAAAGGTGATTTTGGTTTGGAGCGGGAGTTTTTGGCCGTCTTTGCCTTTTCTTCCTTTGAGGCTGTCGATGAGGTCTTTGAACATTCATTGCTCGGTTCGACCTCCGACATAGAGGAATTCTTGGTCGATAGGAATGGCTTCCTCAAAGACGATTTCTTGGTAGACAGTGCGGGCAATGGCTCCTCTCGCTCTCTGATAGCTAAATAAGTCGTAAAAATCAATCCTTTTGGCTCCTTGGTAGGATAAGCCTCTTTCGCGGATTTCAAAGTGGTTGGGATTGAGGTGAGGGTTCTCTTCACAAAATTTATGGACTAAGTCTTCAAAAAAGGGCTTGGTAGAAAGGAGGCTATCGTGTCAACGACGACAAATTCAAGCAAAACGGATGGTTGGTTGGTGATGGCTTCGAGGAAAGACCAACCTTTGGTGTCGGACTTGCCTCTTTGGCGAGCCGTGAAGTAGATATGGAAGAGAGGTTTTTGCTGGTAGATTTGCTTTCAAGGGATTAGTTTGTTCATAAGCTATTTAACCTTAATCTCACTTTCATTAAAACCTAACTCGATTAATTTCTCGATTATTTGGGCAACTCCGGCTTGGTTTGGATTATCATTAACGTAAATTGACAATCGGTATTTATTCTGACTAGTTCTTTTAGTGGAAACGAAAGCTTTGGTGCCGAGGTTTCCCTTGGCAGTTTCTTGCCTGATTACTTTTCATTGCTGGTCGACATATTCTGATTCGACCGAAAAAGATATTATTTTCTCTTCGGCTTCCCAACGAACCCAATCTCTTTCTTCATCCTGGTTAGTGGTAGGATTTAAGAGGTTAGTTAATCTTTCTTGGTCTTCCCTGGATAAACTATCTAGCACAAAAGGTAAGGTGTAATCGTCCAACGTCTGCCAAAAGGAGAGGTTATGCTTCCCGGAATATTGTTTACCTTCTTGCTCTTGCTGCCAAGCATGAGCTAGTTCGTGGGCTAAGGTGCGAAAGATTAAGGCTCGGCTATTTCTGTTTAAGTTGATGTATATTCGGTATAATCCCGGCACTGTTCGGCCATCACAAAAGCCTCGGTGCCTATATCATTCATCATTAAATTTCTCTCCTGGTGGTCGGTGAAAAAATACCTCAACTTTGATTTTCTGCTTTTCGGCAAAAAGTCGGGCTATTCTTTTAATTTCTAGTTCTATGTTGATTAGTTTAGTCATGTTTACCTCCTAGCCAATAAACCAAGTAAGCATCTAGTTGGTGGACACTAATTCTTTGGTTCTTTCAGCTTCAACCTTTGCCACGACCTTGGTGGTAAGTTAAGCCTTTTATTTGTTTAGTTCCTTTCAGCAACTTTCCCTTCAACTCCTTTACTTGGTTGACTGGCATACCCTTAATCTTCTCTACCGGCAACACCTCCAAAGCCCCAAACAGCTTAAAAAGGCTAGTCATATCCTTACCCCTTAAACCCACATAATTAGTATGCTCATAAAGCAAAATGTTGGGCTGGTATGCTTTCACTAACGAGACAATAAAATCATAGTGCTTTCACCAGTCTTTGCCTTGGTATTGGCTGAAAGTTTCTTGTCGGCCATTCTGAAAATAAACCCCTGTTGTTCCGGTCCCTGATGGGTCAATGCTTAATATTCTCTCCATAACTTAAAAGATTTTTCCATATACGCGGGGGCAGGAAGGCCCACGGGGGAAGGATATTCTGACGGTGGGGTCAGGATTTATCCTTAACCCAGGGGGGTTAAGTGATATCTCACAGACAACCAGCCAGTCAGCATCTCTCTCCCCGTGGTTGCCTTGGGGGCTTTTTATTTGGGGTTTAAAGTCTGTGACTTTATAGTTGGTTGGGTGGTTCATATTACTTGGCTTTGGCTTGCGGGTAGAAGTCAATTATTTGCTTGTTGGTAATCCATTTTTTGTATTTAAAGACTAAATTTTGCCCTAAGAGAGCTAATTTAGTGATTTGGTTTCATTTCTCGGGTGGGAGGTCTTCCTTTCGGGCTTGGAGGGTTTCTTTGCTGGTTAGTTTCAGGTCGTAATCTAATTGCCCTTTTCTTTTGCCGGTCTTTCTTATTCTTTCGGCTATTTCGGCAACCGAGCCAATTAAAGAATAAGTGGTGTAGTTTTCGGGGTGGGGTTCGTTGTAATAGGAGTTGATTTTCTTGGTTAGTTCTTGGAGGAGGTTGGTTTGGGTTTGGTTGGTGGGTTGACCGAGTTTGGCTAGGAGGTATTTCTCAATGGTTTCTCGGTCAGTGTTTTGCTGGCTGGCTAGTTGGTTTCAGAAGTTCATATAAACCTTTTTATCATTTGTTTTGGCTGGGGGTTTGTTTGGCTTAACCTGACCTACCAGGATGGGTTTTTGGTTGGTAAATTTGGCTTGTTTTTTTGGCCTCTCTTGCCTTTTTGGGTTTCTCTTTGGGGAAGGGAAAATAACCCTCAACATAAACTCTTATCAAACCACCTAACCATCCCCTCGGGAATAAGAAAATTAAAACCCCCTTCCCTCTCGACTTCTCAATAATTCCTGACCGAAAAAAACCTGTTCGGCTTGCTGGGTTCAACTTAATTAGCAAACATAAACCTAATTTCACTTACTCAGCTGAACGTTTTCAGCTTATTCATGCTATTGCCTAGTCACATGGCCTGGCTGAACCAGGTTGCTTTTAGCTCCGTTCAAACGAGGGTCGATTGTTTTCTCTTTTGGCTGATGGGGCTAAATAAGGACTTACTTGGTTAATTAAGTGGTTTGAAAGAGTTTGTTAATGCAACATTAACTTGGTTATCTGGTGGGAGTTGGTAGGTTTAGCCTGTGGCTCCCGTGATTGGGTTACATGTTGGGTTTCCCTCCTTTTTCTAATTCGGCTAAGCAGCTTTCAATTCGAGCTCACTTCCTTTGCCATTTTTGGTCTTGGTGTTTGGCTTGCTGTTTTTGCTTTCATTCTCTTTTGTTGGCTTGGTATTTTTTCCTTAATCTTTCTTGCTCTTGGGTTCACATTCACTCAGGATTGAGGATAATCTTGCCGGTTTGGATGATTGCTTTTCCGGATTTTAATTGGGCTTCGATTTCTTGTTGTTGTTCCCTTTGGATTTGGGCTAGTCAGTATTGGTTAACCATAGCTACCTCCTTTTACTCACTTGCCGTTCACTTTTTCTACTTGGTCGGCTTTGGTGAAAGTAAAGATTACGGGGCATTCTCTGGGTAAATCCTTTCGGTAATGGGTAAACCAAGTGGGAGTGTCAAAGTGTTTGTAAAAGGTTCGGATTTTCTTTTCGTAGAGGGTGAAACTAATTCAGCCGTTGTCGAGTTTAAAGCCTATTCCGCCAAAGCTGCCTTGGAATTGTTGGCTTTCGTCTCGTTCGTTTCAGATATCTCCTTCTTGGTGGATGGCTAAGGTGTTATTTACCCAATTAAACTTAAATTTAAGCATGGTTGCCTCCTTGCCAAAGCTTGCTATAATCTTGGTAGAGGGTGTATAGTCATTGTGGATGTAGCCGAGAGTAGTTTGGATGTGAGAATGTCCCAACTGCTTCTGTATCGTTTCTA